TTTCGAATCACAGAATTTCATAGCAAATCCGAAGTAATGAAAATACTTACTACGAACTTAACTTGACATTTTATTATTTGTTTATTATCTTTTTTATAAATACAAAATAATTAAGCAAAGAATATCCCTTTCGATAATTTCCTCTTCTGGCTCTACATTCATATATGTGTTTATATACATAGAATATTCTAGAATAGTTGTCAATAACAATATAAGTGTTTTTTTAAATAATATCGATATTATATAAACATATATATACATTTATACATATTCAGAACAAAATAGTTAGAGCGAACAATTGTTTTCAATAAATTCTCCTTCAGGCTCTACAATTATAAGTCCATTAATTTAAGCATACAATAGCCAGTAAAGGCAAATTAGAATCATATCAGAAAGTGTATTATGGAACAAGTATAAGGTGGGATGGAACAAAGTCAGTTAGTTTTTTAATATGCTTGGTCAACGAGAACATGGGACAAAATTTTATTTTGATTTTGATTTACACCGTATATTCAGTACAAGTATGGAATTTTCAGCATGGATATCGGTAGCCCAAATTCAGGCCAACCATAGATATCGGGTGTGCGCCGGCTGGGGATCGAACCCCGGACCATGTGCATGGTCGGCGAGAGTCCTAACCACTGTGCCACCGACGCAAAGATGAAGTAATTTAATTTAATGATGTGTGTGTATATATATAAAATATAGTCAACAGAAAAATTCAGGTTACCAGAGTAAGTGTAATCAGGGTGTGTGCTTAAATTAATGGATTTATAATTGTAGAGCCTGAAGAAGAATCTATTGAAAACAATTGTTCGCTCTAACTATTTGGTTTTGAATATATATATATATATATAATTGTAGAGGCAGAAGAGAAATTATCGAGAAGGATATTCTTTGCTCAATTATTTTGTGTTTTTTTCAGATGTCTGAATGAATATTTTTGCTACATTATTTTATTCCTTTACGTTCCCACTACAACATAGGGCTTCAAACTGGAGCTTTGAAGTTTTGGTAGCAGTGGTGTATATTTTTACGGGATTGGGTTGCTAGCCTCATGTCCAACCTTCCCTCTTTACCAGTTTTATTACTGGCTCAGTGAGGTAAAGGAGTGCGTCGGCCGGGGATCGAACCTCGAACCACCTACGCGGTTGGTGAACATTCTACTGCTGTGCCACCGACACACACATTATTATTTATACCAATTATTTATTAATTTTCTGTACAGGCAGTGAAGCACTCTTCAGGGTGCAATGAAAATTTTCTTTCTTTAACTAGTCTCTTTCTTCCCTTCTATGTTGCAGGGTTCCCCTGAAGCAGGTGAGTAAACACCTGTCCGCCTGTAAGAGCCAGGCAAAATCCCACCTCACTGACGCGGTGTTGGGTCGCCCGGTCGTGGCAGTTTCTTACGTAGTTTCTTCCTCAACTCATCCAGGTTTTACCTGCTGTAACAGTACTACGTTCTCGTCTCCATGTGTCACTATTCCAGTAAAGAAACCAAAGAAATCAACCAGAAAACATAAGATAATCATCTTCTAGTGAGAAATATGAATAGGAGAGCTACATTTTGAACAAGAGATCAACAGAACCGTCACTTCCTAACAGCAAGACATTCATGGCTTTGGGATACTATTCAGAAGTCAAGAAATAAGCGTGCATCAATTTACAACTCATGCGACTGACTCTAGCATGTCGGTTTCCTAGTTGTATGAAGTCTGATGTAGGTAGACCTTCAAAATCAACTCTGTAAAATAGTTGCAGCGTGTGACTGGCACTGCGTGATCATTAGAGCATGTTCTAGTAATGCGTGATTACGGGTTTCAGAAGACGTACTATCGACACCACAATCGGTTTGCAGACATTGATTATTGTATTGTGCATGATGCATAACATGAGAGAAACCTGATAACAGATTGGGATAGGAAATTTCAATAGCTAATGCTTACTAAAAAAATTAACATGTTCAGCATAGTTGTACTGTGCATATTCGACAACCCTACGTTTTCGAGATTCAGAGTAACCACTGTCATAGGCTCAGCCGAACGAGAGTCTGAAGTAACCAAGCAGATATGAATACACTCAATGATAAGCCCTAGATATATTTTCAAGAAATTCCAACACTATCTAAATTTATAAAGGGGGCTAATATTTTCAAATCTCTTAACACATGCAAAGATTTTGCACTAGAACTGTAATCTTCCTGCAGTATTTTCATTATTACATCTGCAGACAGGGAAGATATAATCTTACTACCGTCTGTAGACGTTAGACACGTAATATAAGCTTTGTTGTAGTTTACCATTAAGTTGATGCTTATACACTGGTGTCCGACATCCAAAATAAACACAGGAGATGCTGATGACCAGTCGATGCGGAAGTCCATGGTCTGTATCAATGCATTTGATGCCTAAAAATTGTGGCATAGTCTGCAGATCTTGTGGTGGTCAATGAAGCCTGGGACCTCATTTTGCACACTGTTTTCAGTGTAAGCTGGTATAGGTTTTCGTGCACTTGAAAGATTGAAAATGTCAAGAATAATCATCCGATAATGAAGTAGCGTCATTCATGCGTGTTTGAAGATGTTTCAGACAAAGTGAAGACTCAACGCCTAGCTGACTTCACATCGTTATCTAGTCCCACATATGCACGACTTGACTGCACCTTTCGAAGTCACACCTATATATAATACGCTCGCCGTAACATACTCCTATCACCTGGCTTTCATTCATCCTGGTTATCTTCTAAATCCTGCCGTCAATACGCTCTTCTGTCTCCTCGATAATCTTCGCATATTTCTCGCTCTTTGCATAGGTGCCCAGATTTTCAACCGATTCACTTATGTTGTCGTGCACCTATGCATACACGGATGACATTCTGGTAGCTAGTCGAAACACATCATTGAATTACTTAACTCCATGTTATCTCATGTTCTGATTGATCACACATTCTAAATGCATTTAGATGACAAGCAAATTTCACTGACTATGATTCAACCTTCCACTTGCATCACAATACGCTGTCTGATATAATCCTGACTTGCATTTATTAGCCAATGTGTGCTAAAATTGTTGCATTTATAATTGGGTATTTTGAAAAAGAATTTAGTGAAAAACAGTCATCCACTCTTGTTATTCTTCCTCTGTAAATATTATCTTTAGTTGTACTGTTATCTCTGCATTCATTATCATTATCATACTATACCTCAGTTTCACAATTTATTATCAAACTAAACATTGTGATGAGACAATAGTTCCTGTATCCGTCTACCCCTACAAACGTACACATTCATAATAATTCACTGACCACCTTGTCATTGCTAGTTATAATTACTTAGTATTTGCATATCATTATGTTATTAATATTGTAATTGTGGTGAGAGCTGGCTGCTAGCCAAATTGGTAGACAGTAATTTACGTCAATGTTTACGTCCCCAATATTGGTCATGAGAAAAATAAGAACAAAGACTGACTCAACAACCAATCACAGCAGACTTTGCATAGGCGGATACCATTTGGAGATAGATAATCTGAACTTCAATAAACAGCAACAAAGAGATGAAAGACTAACGTTCAGTGAGAAACCACTAGTCAGAAGACTGTGTTTGCTCGCTTACAATAATCTATAATAATGTACATGAAAATGCATAAATATGTGTTGATTTCCTAAGTAAACGATCTGTTGCCTCGCCCTTGTCTTCTGTTGTTACATAGTCACGTTGGTTATTATCCTCTAGTCCACAGACTTGATGAGGAGTTGACAAAAAGAGTCATTCGATTAAACTGGGTTCTCTAGTTCTAGGAATGCGAGTAGTTGAATTAGTATCTTTTTGTTCGTGTGCTTTGTGCTTTGCTCTGTCGCGCAACACTTCACTTGATTTTGATTTTCACTCACTGACTACTCGGACTCATTATTAAGTTTCTAAATACACATAATTGTTCGTCTGTCATAATTTGACTCTACTATTCATTCCCATCCTCTTCACCTCGCCATCATAATATGCATCAATTCAGTCTGTTCTTCGTATTCTATTTTGTGTCTAGTCAATCCTTATTTCCAAGCGAAATTTGAACTTTACCCCGATCCCACCCTTGTCTAATTGTATGATAAACAGTAGGTGCCTTTTTAGCACTGAATAATTTGTCTATTGACATCGTCTTCCCAATTATGTTTCTATACTTTCTATCCATGACTAGAAGTCACCGGAAAAGTGTGTTCAAACATTTTGGAGCTTATAATTTGATTTAGTTTGGTATGTTCTCTGTTGAAGAGAATCCATGAGATTAAGCGAGCTCATATTATCCTCCAAATATGTTCGTTATTTCTCTGTTTAAACCACTGAAGGGAACTGATTTTAGGATCGTACTAAGTTATAATTGGAAGAAAACTACGCTCATCACAGGTGAAGTTCCATAACACTTCATCTCTAATATTGTGGTGAGAGCTGTCTGCAAGCCAAAATTGTAGACAACAGTTTACGTCAATGTTCACGTCTCGAATCAGGGGCATGAGAAAGACAACAACAAAGCTTAGCCTTGAGAGAAAAACCAGCCAATCGCAGCGGTGTTAGCGTGTGGAAATATGACTCGCAGATATATATATTTTCTGAGAAACGGTCACAAAGAGATAACAGAATAACCTTCAGCCAGAAAACAACCAATAAGAAGAGGTTGCTTCTCCGCTAACAATAATGTACATAAAAATCTATAGATCCCTCATGATTTTCTCAATAAACAATCAGTTGCCTGGCCCTTGTCTTCTGTCGTTACAATATGCCTATGACATTTTACGCACACCGCTATCACTGAACATTGTAGGGAGAAATCAAAATATTATTGTTACTTTTATTATTATTATTACACTTATCACAGGTACTACTACGGACACGGCTGCGACTGCGACTACATGTCAGTACAAAAATCTAATCAAGTGAAAGAGAAAAGAAAAAGCATGTCGTCTTCAAATGGTTCGTGATGACAGTTGAATATACATAAATGTTCATCTCACACAGATGATAGTGTTCCATTTGATGTCATTAACGCGCGTTCAATCTTCAAGAAGAGAAGAAAGAATGCAAAAATAACGAATGAATGCATAGTTTCAATCAAATGAAGGACGATACTGAGGGAAATAAAAACGTTTCATAGAGTGAATCAATCACTGATTTTCGACATTTTCAGTTTCAAATGACTGAATTACTCCAATTGATTGTGCTTCGGTTGACACGCTGGACCATATTTTTGATGCATTCAAGTGTGGGCAAGACGTGTATTGAGCATCTCAGTTAAAAGCATCACACCAACAAACGGGTACAACAATCAGTCAGAAAGAAGTCAAAGCTTCCCATCTAGATATAATACCGACTCCTGAAATTCTCATTACACAGTTTTAAGTTATTCACCAGAAACGAATATCTCATCTACTTGTCTCTAAACACCAACACAACATCATTCAATACGACATGAGGTGTGGCGTTGGAGGACAAGCGACAATTAGACTGATGTTTGTCATAAGGTGTGTGGATTGATTCTGGTAAATAAACTTACCTTTAAGTTCGCCAGAATATTGTCAAAAATTGCTTTGGTTTCTATAATAAGAAGATGCAGTTTGTCGTCGAAAAAGGCTTACTTGATATGTAAATTTGAATAGACGCATACGAGGAAACAGATAAAATGTTGTAAATCTATCGTTTCTAATCATCAAAACAAGTATCCGCATAGTACTCAAAACATATGAGTGTGAATTGCTACCTCAGCCCTGACTCAACGTTTACGACGTCCTAGACTGTTGAAAGCGCCTTACAAAATATTCGGTTCTGTATGTTTCAACTTACCATGATATCTCAACGAAGTAAATTTCGTAGCAGTGGCCATTATTATCAGTTCCTTCAGGTTATCTAATTCTGAAAAAGGAGATAAAGTGTAAACATGTAATGAAAGTATATCATGGATAGACATGATGATTTGTGGACTGATGAAGACGAGAAGAAACATTGCTAATTTGGAAGAAGAAAACACTGAGTGAAGCAGTGTTCACTTCTCAATTAAATTCCCCTCATCAGCTCTTATGTTATATACACGAATATATATATATATATACATTTTAACATATCACAGTATCTCCAGCAGACAGTAGACTTTTGTCAACCTCTGACTTCGCTAGCTGCATATCGAAGGTCAGTCAGATGACCAGATAGGATTAGAAACAAGAAACTCTGGGAACGAACCAATCAAGAACCTACTGATCAACAAATATTACGAAGAAACTGGAGATGCATCAGGCACACACTGAGGTGACCACCGGGTAAACCGCACGCCAGGTCATCGCCCGAGTCGAACCCAAGTAGGAAACGAAGAGTTGGGTGTGTGCCTGAGGTTGGTGACACTGCGGAGATCGTGCGAGAAGGGGATGTGAGCCTATGGGCAATCGTAGAGCATGCTTGAAAGGACCGTAGAGAATAGGACGAAGTGGAGATGTGCTGTCAAAGCGCTATGTTCCACTTGACACCCGAAGGAACAATAATATTTATCATAATACAATCTGACAGATTTAGTCAGTGGAAAATACACTGGAAGAAGAATCAATAGGGTGTTTGCAAATAAGTAGGCTTTCTCTTTGCAGAGAATGGCTTCATCATTTACGAAAAATGTAACATGACAGCCACTATCGATCATTATTCAGTCGAACAAACATGTCTGCGATATATGAAGAATAAAACTGGAAGAATAGTCTTCCAATAAGCAATTACATGTTTCTAATTACCTTCAGTAGGTTCAGTCAACAGAAGATCATCACAAACTGTCCAATCTAGGGTTGATTCAGCACCTGTTCAAGAAGAAAGGATGGCATTGACAGCACTTAGTCGGCTACAATGAACATGGTGTGTTTAATGTTACTTATCACCAGTATTAAATGATTTAACTTACTTCTTCTATTAACTGAAATACACAGAAGTCAAAGCATACAAAGACATTACTCGTTTCTTATGACGTCTGAAATATGAATATTTGTAGGTCATGAATTTCATCAACCAATTGCCAGTGGGAGTGATTCTCAGTGAGTAAGCAGTGAGTGACAGATCTTCACGGAGAGATATTTGAATCTTCATAAGGATTGGCTTGGAGTCAATGAGGTGCCCATCTTTGGAACAAGTGGTGTGCACACCATTGCCGACTAGTTCTCAACTGCTCTCAATTCAACTCTGAACACTATGAGTGGCTGTGTGTAAACTCTTCGTAATGACGTGGTCATTGACAAAACGACTGTAGTGAGTAGCATCAGTGATTAATCCCTTGTTTTCTTTTGACTATCTCATAAATAAACCAAGTTTCAAAAAACACTGATACTGTTTCACAAAATGACAAGGGAATTGCAAAAAATCACTATTGGATGTCAACTATTGTGCAGTGACTGACGAATTCACTCAAATATCTGACAGACAAACACATTTGTCTTTCAGTCATATGCTTACGCTATCAACGATAACTAATAACTATAAAATGCAATGATGCATATTACTGCATGTGTGATTTGTTATATTATTTATTTATTATTCACTATGACCTAGAAATGGTGTGATTTTCTTGGGGTTTTTATTTTTTCCTATTAATTTCCAATATTTTTAACATTTCATAGATTTATATAATTATAAAAAGAGCTAAACCAATGCAATATGTAAAATGAAACGCTGAAAATTCCATGCTGTAAATTGTTATTGTTGTGGAATAAAGTGATTATTATTATTATTATTAAGTTACCAGTTAAACATGATGGATTAGATCCCACCGATGTTGAACTGAGTCGTATGAGTGAGGAACTGTCAACAATAGTGTAGCTAACTTGCTCAATCAATAGTATGAATGTTTACCTTTAGATCCATGGATTAGAGATTCATTCCAAAGAGTATTATTCGAAGGCATGACAAAAAATCCGGCTGAATAAAATGCAAAGAGAACAGAATATATATTGACCAGGAGTTCGAAAATCACCTGTCACACTGATCGAATGGAGCAAATTTAGTGAATAATTTCATGCTTGGCTGACCATCTGCCGAATAATAGTAGCCTATGGTTCGAGATTTTCAGCGAATGAATCAACTGAGCCTGTTTCGCCAACTTCCTTCACCGTTACGTATCATGGTAAGTAGATTCGATAAAATACTGGATACTCTTACACTCGTTGCATCTAAGTGACTGATAGTGAAATTTGGGATGAACACCTTAAGCAGCTGGAAGCATTCTGCCACATTAACGCTCATCTTTCAACAGCAGTAGTGCTACTGAACTGAATTTATTTCTTAAATCAGCTTCGATAACTCACCGATTGAAATGCAAAAGGAACAAGATCAAAAAATGCACTAGAAAATGCAACAGCGTACTTACCATATGACTGATTCACATTCCTGATGATGCGTGAAATGGCTGACAAAACAAATGAATTCACGGTAAATTCAAGATACACAATAGTTGCAATAATCAAAGGTGATAAATTTGTAAACATGAAATACTCAAATTGAATAGGTGACATTATTGAGGCAAATTGTTTGAATAAATGAGCATCAGCCTTCACATGTATGTGTGATATTAAGTAAAAGTGTTATTTCAAAATTTATTTCATGAAAGATTTAAATAGCCTAGCCAATTTGTTTTCAGGCTGAATGTGAACAACAAACATTTAACATACTATTGTAAAATTTCTGTCGATAGTATTCTTCACAAGTATTAACTTGACACTGCACGACTAAAAGAACGATTATTTCTCAATGTTGATGAAATTATTTGACTTACACTCGGTGATAGTTGTTTCCTTTTCTGCGGCCTGTGTTTCCAAGTCGTCTAAAGTGAGAAGGAGATAAACAACCTGTTGCCTCGTGCAATAGAAATCATGATCGCGAGGCAGTGTTGTCATTATTGCTCGCTTCTCAACTACTGACATAAAAGCTGATGAATAAACCAACCACAGTAAGGTGTCACCAGTTCTCTCTCCCCACTCATCCCCAGATATTGGTGTTTACACACATTTGAACAGCATTCGACAGTTATTTACTGCATGTTCATGTACAAAGTATTTGACATCCTTCAACGACTAATAATGCAAAACCACACATTCACTTCAGAAAACAAAACGTTTATACGAAACATTGTGAAACTGTAATAATTTATATTGTGACTCTGGTCAAATGACTGGTTGCAAATCTACATCACATCACTACCATCCTCAGTTGGAAGGATGACTAGAGATGGTGAACACTACACGTTTGATGAAAGATTAAGACAGGGAAGAAAGAGAAGACTAAGTATGCAGCTTCGAAATCTTGTAGCTGCAAGTGATGCGATTGTGAATAATAAATTTCCCTCGAAATATCATCCGGTGAATAAACCTGTTTCACTCTGTGATATGTCCAGCAATCACATTAGTTTGGGACCATATACTACCTGCACGGAGTTTAAGTAACTCACGCATACTATTGGCTTCAAGCACCACTGACACATCAAATTAGAAAATAACATACAAAATACATATGGTAAGTAAGAGCAGGCTTGTAAATCACCTCGCATCATTTTCATTTCCACTTCATAATCGGCCGCATAATTGTCGTTTCTCGTAATATTTTCTGTAAAACAAATGCAAATGTCCCACAAATCAATTGACAATGACTAAAGTAATGATGGCAAGTGTCAAATCTGATAATCAGTCACGCTGAATTCGTCTGCATTCACAAAGTGTTCCAGTGTAAGATGCTGCGTATGCTTCCTCTAACTACCTCAAACGCAGATAATTGCAAATTAAGAGAAAATACGATAAATGACTCCACAAATGAAAATGTATTCAATGAACACAAACTTTGTTATTCCATCAAATATTAATGAAATGAATGGAATGAATATTTCAATCTATTAAAACGAATTTGCTTACCGGCAAAAGTGTTCATGTATTGTTCGATGAAGTCTATCTCTTTAGTAAGACGATTCACATCTTCAAAACAACAAAGTTGAGCATAAATTCATTGAATTAAGCTTGGTTGAATGCTATGACTAATTCAGTTTCAAGAGTGAGTGAAAAAAAGAATATGTGGGACAGCACATTTCGCATTTAATAAGAATGAATAATACTGGTTGATATGTTCAGTGAATAATGTTTTGAAGAGAATATCCAACTTGAGAATACGCAACGATTCCGCTTGAAATATCATCTCACTCATTTCACAAGTAGCAATTTTTCTTCTACTCGAGAATCTTAGGTCTCAGGCCTCATTCAGCGGTTGACTGTCACAGACAGAAACTGACAAGCTCCGCACCATGATCACCTAGGCAATGTGAATACTCTGTCTGACAGAGAAATTTAATGAGAATTTAGCTTGCACTGTTAGGAAAAGCGGAATAATAAAGTCAATTTCTACATATCCACAGTGTTCACATCCTCAAAGTTCAACGCTGTTATGTTGTTGGATTAGATGAAGCTGTCTCACTCACTGCATTTCCTTGCAGGATTCGCATAATGTTTCACCACCAGACTACTCGATAACAGTCTAAAATTAGCTGACAAACTATGAATTGTAGAGGGAAATATCAGCATGTTTGAGATTGCAGAATTCTCGAATGATCATTGCTGACGTGACTGGATATTCAACAAGCAACTCCACATTTTGAGAGAATTCACAAGTCAGAAACAATTGGATTACAACAAACTGACGCCAACGTGAATGATAAAATTACTGTTCAATGTGCAACGACTCACCATAACGTCTTTCAGACAGCCCATTATGTTTTACTAATCCCATAGCTAAAAATAAATGAAATAAATAAATAAATTAATTAATTGATAATATGCGTAATTGAGAATATTTAGTCGTAGGAATCACTTGATCGACAGTGAGAGAGAATCATTCATCCATTATTTCGTAGGAAAACCACCTGAATGCTCATCTTGTGCATTGAATCCACATTCAGCACGTGTTTCAAACTGATACGACTCAAGATGAGTTTGTAGTCATGAAACTGAAATCATCAATGTACACAATTTGCGCAACAGGAATGAATGAAATGTATGCGAATTCGTGTTATTGGTATGTGTTAGATGAATGACTACACCGGGTTGTCATATCGTACCTCAAGTTCATGCGAAAATGATGTTTATATCGACGTCTGATAGATCAGATCGAATGGAGTGGTTCATATATTCCCACAAATCACTGACTATAATATACTATATAAGCAGTTGTCAATCAAAATTCAGAAGTGAATTCTGTTCTTGTAAGGTAGTTGTAAAACATTCATGCGACATGCAAACAGTGAAATTAAGTAACGCTTACCTGTCAGTAGAGATGCACGCAGGAGAAAGATGAACGCGGTGGTTTCAAGTGATACGATAGCGAACGCCATGATTATGTGTATTTACTTGAAATCTGATATACTTATTCTTATATATATATATATATATATATATATATATTACATATATATATATATCCATTGGTTGATTTGCAAATACTGTTATTTTCTGATGTCCACGTAATCATGGCGTGATTATCAATACTATAAATAAATTGAACTTCATTACAGAATGTAAACAAATTTCTTCAAAGAATATGTAATTAGTCAGAGAGAAAAAGTGAACTTTGGTAATATTTCATGTGAAAATTTCTTCACTGTACTTTAATTACTTATTCTTGTGTCAGAAGACGGTCTGAACAAAGAATATTCTTTTCAAAACATTCCATTCAGGTTCTTATAATTATACGGTAACAATAACAGCAGGTTTATTGACGGATACAGTTTTTATTAAGAATAACAGTTTATTTATAGGCTGATGAAATAAATGGTATTTCTTCGCCAAATGTGGTGAGTTGATTGTAAATACAAAGATGGCATGAAGTGGATGAAGACGATACGCACTCATAATAGAAAGATTTAGTGTGAGGAATGAAGGTCGACCACTTAGTTGAAAGGAGTTTAACGAGCTTGGTGTGTGGCAAGCACACATAGACAGTAGGCTATTAAACAGGAGACAGTAAGACTGTAGTTAGTAGTTTATCATGGAATAATCAATATTTGCAGTGTGTGAGTGGTTTCATATTATGGAAAAAAAGATAACATCACTGACAATGAAGCGCGGCAGTCTGTTTTTGTCAAACTTCAAGGCAGATGGGAAGACATAGCATCGAGGTGCTAGGAATACGTGAGAGCAGAAGAAATTGAAGTGTACTCTGCAAACTTTTAACCGGATGGTCAAGAATCCACTCCGCTCTGATCACTCAGACGACAACCGCGAGCACACTGAGGCAGTGAGTAGCTATCATGATGTCACCAGTGGCAGCCAACGACCCACTTCAGTGAGAACCAATCTCATCTGGGATGATGACAGCGAGATTCCACACAAAAGGAAGGAAGTGAGGAAGGAGGATAGGTTACAATCATCCAATCCTACGCGTCCACAAGCGACTCAGAATAAGAGAATACGGAAGATTTCGAAAGACAGCTGAAAACATGTATGGGTACGATAGCAAATGCCTGCATAATTGCTAAACTGCGAGCAAACAAATGGGGAAGGAGCTCATCATTTGTCGAATTGATATCGGCAAATGTATGCGAGTGTAGAACTGTTCACAGACTTCTGAATATTTACTGATTTGATGATTGGAGTCGGTGTTTTGAAGCACCTAGTTGGTTATAATGCTCCATTGGTTTCACAAGTTATCGACACTAAAAGTCAGATATCTCATATACGAAAACTGGAGAAGTAGCTTCCTGGACACAATATCGATACGGGGAAGAGATGTCGTCTCGGATCAGTATATGGTGTTATTAACCTTCCTGATCAGACTGAAATCCTTCAATATGATCGCCTTCGCGATCAGTCATCTACATTCAAATTCAAGTGTCTCTGGATAATCAACCAACAAAATTTTGTAGCATCTCAATCTTTTATTAGGTTACAGACAATCAACACATTTTATTAGTTTCACTTCGGATATATGATTGTTTTTTCCAAAGAACTCACACAATCTCTCGTTGTTTATTCAAAAATATTTATTTCTCACAAACTTTCGATGTTTTCCAAGAAATTTCAAAGCAAACCAATGCGTGATTTCGACGTCACCAATTTACCTATAATTAGTGTTCTCTACAGCCATGTTGTTGAATTCAGGTACTCATCCAGCCGTAAAATGTGGGAGCTCGTCAGTTTTAAATGGAGAATTCTTATAATTCGTCACGTGGAATGTCTGAAAGGCAGTTTAATCAAAGAAACTAATTAGGGGCGAAATGGCATTTCAGAGTTGAATGAAATTTTCCTTTGAAAATGTATTATGCTAACTATGACCAATACAAACATAGACTTCTAACAGTTCCTACTGTATGTCTTCAATAATGTAGAATAGTTCAAGAAAATTTCATTTTCTTATATTTCGATGTGTTAGCCATTTTAGGTTTTGCATTACTTTTAAAAAGCATTACTCACTTTCTACTCCCTTATTGATAATATGAGAAGAATCGTTTATAAACTGGAGTTCTAATTTCAACGAGTTACATTTATCATTCGCTCAAAGTTATCAGTATTGTACTTTAACTACCAATACTCAGAATTATCAAGAGTCAAAATATCTACGTTTTCAGATGAAATGTTGTGAAGATCCGTACATATGAATAAAATGAATAATAAGGTTATTTAAACTGTAAAGGTTCACTTATTCTATTAATTCTGGCCTCAGTTGTACCTCGGTTCCAGAAGAATGCACTGTTCAGTTCAATCAATTCTTGAAATGCTTGTGGGATACTAACAACCATTGAAGCTGCTAAGAAACTGTGACGCGGACAAGCAGTGGGTTTGTGTGATAAAGGTGGCTTAAATGACTCGTGGATCGTCGAAGTCAGTGCAAATGGGAACACCTAGTACGAAATGAGACAGGGTGTGTTCAGGAGCAACCCTTCCAAAGGTGATGGGAGTATTCAAGGCTTATGTCCAAATTCTCACTTGAGCCATATGAAAGTATAGTAGTCCGAATCCGTTACTTTCATTTGGCTAACGACGCTTTAGGATGCAAATGCACTCGAATTAGGACATATCACCCAAATACCAGTGGCCTCGTGAGACTGGCAACCTAAAACTTCTCTTATGACAATCAACGATGTAAAACAAACCGCTTTCTTCTCCATCAGCCTTTCGCTACCCAACATCTACTCTTAAATTTGATATGCAGTGCAAAGAAACAGTCTACAAAAACACCCTTCCTTTACACAGTGAAATACGTGCTCAGTTAGACTGTGGGTCAAGTGTTTCATATATCCTGAAGCCTTCAAAACTGCATGCATGCATTTTTGATGCCGTACGGATTCTTCTACCTTTTTACTACTATGAACCATTCAAGGTTGTTTATAAAAAGAAGGTATTTCTTGTCACTGATCAAGCAGAACTGTAAGGCACAGTCAGCATCTATCCAGCAAAGATATCTTGTATATCTGACACGAATAGTAGACTCTTCACCGTCAGATTGCGGATTCAGAAAAAATTAAGGTGGACAGTGTCAACCGATCCATGGTGAGTCGTTGCACATTGAACAGTAATTTTATCATTCACGTTGGCGTCAGTTTGTTGTAATCCAATTGTTTCTGACTTGTGAATTCTCTCAAAATGTGGAGTTGCTTGTTGAATATCCAGTCACGTCAGCAATGATCATTCGAGAATTCTGCAATCTCAAACATGCTGATATTTCCCTCTACAATTCATAGTTTGTCAGCTAATTTTAGACTGTTATCGAGTAGTCTGGTGGTGAAACATTATGCGAATCCTGCAAGGAAATGCAGTGAGTGAGACAGCTTCATCCAATCCAACAACATAACAGCGTTGAACTTTGAGGATGTGAACACTGTGGATATGTAGAAATTGACTTTATTATTCCGCTTTTCCTAACAGTGCAAGCTAAATTCTCATTAAATTTCTCTGTCAGACAGAGTATTCACATTGCCTAGGTGATCATGGTGCGGAGCTTGTCAGTTTCTGTCTGTGACAGTCAACCGCTGAATGAGGCCTGAGACCTAAGATTCTCGAGTAGAAGAAAAATTGCTACTTGTGAAATGAGTGAGATGATATTTCAAGCGGAATCGTTGCGTATTCTCAAGTTGGATATTCTCTTCAAAACATTATTCACTGAACATATCAACCAGTGTTATTCAGTCTTATAAACGGGAATATGCGCGAAGATTATTGTTTTCAATTCGAGCTTATTTAGACTTTACTCTGATTTATGTAGGTTATATATAAAATGCTTGAACTAATGATGGCGTGTTTGTGGGTTAAATAATAATGATTATGTGTTAATCTTTTGAACGTTATCCATGGCGGTGGTTATCGATGATAACTAAATTTTTGATAAGTGTTTTTATTCAGCTGGCTATAAGAATAATGCCGGTAGCAATATATTTATATGCAGATGATTATCAGTGATATGCCACATGGGATTCCTTCAGTTTTGTATCGATGTTATTCAGTTAACAAATACAAATATATAAAATAAGTTGAAGAGTCCAATTGATGTTAGAAACCACGTAGATCTTTCGCTGATGAATGCCAATAAATACCTGTCGGATCTTTACGATGGTACTCTATCTACTCATCGGCAAGTAGCTTTCTCCCTTGGACTTAATTCTTGTTTTCATTGTATACAGTTTGCAGAATTAGCCATCATGCTGAATTTGAAACTTGTAGGATCAACTCAAACGTCTGGTCACAACATCCGATGAAGAACGGCGTTGGTGTAGAGTCAAGATGGTGTATATTGCTCCCCAATTGTCAAACAACAATCCGAAAAAGAAAAGCAATTCAACTTCGCAGCATTTCACAGCCTAAAGTGAACCACAGGAAAACCACTATATAACAATTGGGAAACCTGACAAAGTTTCTGGAGTCGTTGTCATGATCAAAAGTGATTACTAATCCAAAGATTATCTTTTCCTGACGATAATAGCAAATTCAGCCATGATCCATCTTCAGAAGATATTGAGTTGTTGTAAGGCGCAGTAACAGCTAATCTAGTGAAGCGTATTGGCCTAAATGCTATGAGTAATAACACATTTAACTCTTTAAAGCCATGAGAATGTAAATTCCAACCTACGTACGGCTTACCAAAAGCACATAAACCCAATAATCCTCTACGTCCTACTGCAGATCTCCAACGCACAAACTTGCTAAATGGTTAGTAGAATCATTGTACTCAGTCAAACACAAAATTCTGCAAGTATGTTTTAAAAGATACACTTGGCCTGGTTAATTTTCTTGATGATATTAATATTATGAATAAAAATATGTGCTCTTTTGATGGAAACTCTTTATTCACTTATGTGTCTTAACTTAAAACAATTGACATTTTGTGTGATTACATTTCCAC